CTGAAGGAGGAGACGAGGGTGGTGTCAGCGCGGACGTCTGGGGTGCTCCTATCACCTTCGCTGCCCACTGTAGTTTTAAGGTCGTCCAACATACGATCTGTTGAAGAAAACAAGTTTCAACATTTACAGAACACTGGGACCACTAGAGAGAAGACTAAAGAGTACATTCATACATTAACACACACAAAAAAACTTTAGGCTTATTCGTAACAGGAAACAGGCACAAGAAAAACAAAAACATGAATAACGTATCAGAATTCATTTTGCTTGTATTTCCATCGTAATATTCATGTAACACAGAACTTAATAGTCTAAGACAGCGAAGTGAGACTGACACTACAGCAGCCAAAGTATTTATTATTCTTTATACAGTGCTGTCCTTCAAGGAGATAGTGGTACCATGATGTTGGTGAAGGGCTTTTGATCTAAGCCTGGAGCTACATCCCATTTCTCAAGCGTTGTATGATTCCTATGAGTATAATATATTAATAGCACTTGTTCTATATATCTGGTGTCTTATTTTGTTGACAGGACTCTCCAGTATTGCACAGCAGACGGAATCACAGGTTACCCCTCCGGTATTTTTAAGAATATTGGTTGCCAGCCTCAACGTAGCCAGTTCTGTTAGTGTTAAGTTCAGCTAGCTATTCAGACTGATGCTAATAATCTGTATACAATTATTGCCTTAAGGTATTTTGAAGGCTGCTGTAGTGCGGCCTGTAGACTGCTGGACTGGGGAAGCCATAAGTGTACATATGTCGACTGGGCAATAAGGTATCTGGTGGAGAGAGAGAGAGAGAGAGGAGAGGAGGAGGGAGTAGTAGAAGGGAGGGGGAGATGAGAGAGAAAGCAAGCACATGGATAGCATACTATCGGGAGGAATCTGGCATGCCTCACAGAACGTGTTTTGATTAATGAATGCATACTAGTTTTTCCTAGTCTTTTAAAAAAAAACATAATGAGACACATATACGACATAAAGGTCTCATGGTCAATATATCCATTTGAGCTGAGCGAATGAGAGCAGCAGGGCAGGTCCAGAATGAGTTGTAAGCATGAAGTCGCCAGGCGCGCGGCGTAAGTACAGGTTACCTTCCCAGAGGGGAGAGTGTTCGTGCTATCACCTCCATCCACCCTCACACACACCTCTCAGCCTCTTGTGTAGCCGTCTGCTCCCCTGCTCCACGTATATATAACCAAACTGGCTCATCGTGAGTGATGCTGAAATGTCTCCACATACCGTGACGGGTAAATAATCCCATCTGGGAACGTTAGACTAGTTTTTCTTAGTCATGATATTATCATCTCGAAAATGGCTCTTCAAGGGAGGGATGTCTATATGCTGGCAAAGAAGTATTGATCCAAGAAATTTCAGTACCTTCCTTTTCATCAGTTTATTATCTTCCATTTTTCAAGCTATATAACCCATACAGGTTTAGCTGATCCCTATGAATATACTCTATAGTTTTTTACACATGGCTTCTCATTTTATATTTTGCAAAGGGAAGACGCATAAGCGCATTTAAGTGTTATTATAGTTAGCTGTAAATTAAGAGTGACAGAAATAAAGATTGTCTGGCGTTGCAAGTCTAGCTTCAAGCGAGGCTGCGAGGGTGAACTCTCGAAACAGGCCAGAGGCATCACAGGAATGAGTGTGGGCTGTGGTCAGTGAGCTAGGCTCCATTTGCGGTACGATATTTTTGATCACATTGTCTAAATTCCGGAGCAGTATGTGCTTGAAACTTGTCAGATTTTGTCGACCTAATGAATTCCGTTAAATGTGGCTAAATATGGACTGTTTATTTTTTAATACCTAATAAGTTATTTTATCATACTTAAATCACTCCCTATGAAAACAAAAGACTCGGCAGACGATGTAATATCCCCCAATGAAAAGCAGGGGTGCCACTAGCACGACGAGAGACAACACAGTAAGTGTCAGAGGCCCAAGCCTGCTCAACTGCCTCCCAGCATACATAAGGGGGATTACCAATAGACCTCTGGCTATCTTCAAGCAGGCACTGGACAAGCACCTAAAATCAGTACCTGACCAGCCGGGCTGTGGTTCGTATGTTGGTTTACGTGCGCCCAACAGTAACAGCCTGGTTGGTCAGCCCCTGATCCACCATGAGGCTGGTCACGGACCGGGCGGCGGAGGCGTTGATCCCGGAGCCCTCTCCAGGTATTAACTGCAGGGAGGTGAATGGCGTAACTACCTGTCCAATCTCCAGATGATGCCCTGCCTCCGTATATGGAGTAAACTAGATCTCCACACCTGGTCCTGCTACCCACACTACCACTCTCACTAACCACCGTCACCGCGGCTGTTGTTAACTACTACTACCACAACTACTCTCACTAACCATCACCCCAAATACACAAATCGAAGATGAAATTAAATGACGTTTACCTTCTTATTCACTATTTGACAATAGTCCTGGGCTGTTATTAACTCATGAGTCCGGTTTCATGACGAAAAGAATCAGCACATGTCCGTTGTTTAGCTCTCAAACTTAGGTACACCCGCAGTGTGCGGTCACTATTCTTATGATAGTTGCACTATGGAGCTAAATGCAAGTTGATTTCTCGTATTGTCCATCACATAAAATGGGTTACATATATATAAAGTTATGAAAGGCCTGTGTCCTATGTGTGGAAAATGGCACTTGTGTACACGTAAGAGATTTATTAAAGGAGACGTTTCGCTACGAGTGGTGAATCTTATGATAGTTGCATTGTGGGGCTAAAAGCTAGCTCTGTTTCTGTCACAGTCCACCACAAAGGATGGGATACATATTTACGGTAATGAAAGGCCAGATCAAGTCACGTGTGTTGTGAAGATCAAAGCATCACAGATGAAGGTACTAGCCATCCTATTTCTATTGACAATCTAAACCATAGTTTAGCACTGAAACATCTTTCACAAACTACAGCTTCAAAGTTTTCAGTGCATAAAATGCAAAACTATAACACGGGCAGATAATAACCTTAAATAGCTAATATAATATGTAAAATCACAGGTACATAAACCTAGATTGGGGATCAACAGGTTAGCTATTATTATTATTATTATTATTATTATTATTATTATTATTATTATTATTATTATTAATGAAGTGCTAAATTCATTGGTGTCGTACAAAGCCTAGGAAATCTGGTTAGTGAAACCTAACTGAAGAATAATTTAACATAGCGTTTATTTTCGTTTAAGAGACATTAAGGTGTACCAACTAGAGGGTGTAACTCACTGCAAGCACTGGTGGTGTCGAGAATCTCTCTATTATCGCTCGTTGTGTTCTTTTGAAGAGACTAAGGTATTGCCGCATCTGAGAGATTAGCGAGACTGATGAAAACTAAACTGGTGCAAGGGCTGAGCCAGTATTTATTTTTCCAACACAATCAAACACTGTTTAGATGGTGGGTTAGCCGGCCTCACCTGCGTTTGGATGTGTTTATATAACTTCTGTCCTGTTTTTTCCGTTATATGTTAATTTTTAATCCCGTTTTAACATAAAGATTTAATTAATCTAAAAAAGCAAACTAATTTAACATTGTAATTAGACTGGCAAATAATTAAAACTGTCACTGACAGATAAACAGTGTATCGATTACATTTCTTTGGGAATATCACAAATCTGCTCACATTTATAATTTCACATGCTTCATAGGTACCGTAGTAAACCTTTAGGTATTTAGAGATAAATAGTAAACAGAGCTGTATATGGTGCAGTATCTAGTCACTTCTGTCCCCTCAAGGAAGGTTCCTTGATGTTGGTGAGGGGCTCTTGATTTAGGGAATTGGATCTGTGCTCCAGTTCCCCGAATTAAGCCTGAATGCCTTCCACATCCCCCCCCAGGCGCTGTATAATCCTCCGGGTTTAGCGCTTCCCCCTTGATTATAATAATAATAATAATATAGTCACTTCTGTGATCCAGGACCCCTAGCAAAGGCACATTTACTTTCACAATGTAGGATTGGACGGACTTAACCTGTTTATGAATCGATAAATTCATTGTAAAGTTAAAAGGCTGTAAACGAAGCTGTTGTAGCAATACTGGAGGAAAGCCTACCTGCCAGGAGACTTGGCAAAGTGGCAGTGGCAGGTGTGTGACGCAAATCTTATTTTGACCACCACGAGACACCGGCCACCCATATTAAAAAACAATACCAGAAATAACTGCTGATCTGTTTTACGAAAACACTTTCTGTAAACTGAATTGCTCTATGGGGACTTTTCATCCAATATATTTATGAAAGGAAAATAAATGGCGTACAGTGAAGGATGGTAGGTATTGAGGACATCCAAATTAGAGGTGATACGTAGTGAATGACATGAGGCTGCCGAGAACATAAAAAAAAGGTTTGATGAATACTGCACACTTGTGTGGCAGTAAGGAAAGAGGAGTTTCTAAAGTTATTTTAAAAGTATCTGTTTAAAAACGTCTATCATTTTTTTTTACCTTGATGCTGACTGCCTCTTGATAAAAGGAATTAGAACTACCTTCCCTCCATATCATCAAACACAAATCTTCCATTCCCCAAACAAGCTACAGTATGACTGTATGGGTTTAGCGAATCCCCGTGTACAGTGCCTGCACTTTGAAACAGGGAGGAGGGGGAGAGGGGTATTTGCAGTTCTTCAATGAAGAGGCATCCGAGATGTAGTATTGGAACCTCTGTGACACAGGCAATGATGGTGAAAGTGTGTCTTCTTTTTTGGGGGGTCATCCTACCTCGGTGGGAGACGGCCGGTGTTAATTAAAAAAAAGAAATAAACTTTTTTTTTTCAAACAAGAATAGCATAAACTTGAACTATGTAAATACTAAAAGGTTAACTTTGGAGCATATAAATCCAGTCGACTGAAATGTCGACTCTTAATAATAATAAAAAACTAGAACGAGTGCTAAATAAACTGAACTGTATACAGAGTACAGGGAAACACAATACCTCCGCATGCACATAAGGTCTATAATCTCTAAAACTATCATGAATGTCTCTTCCTTACGGCAGACTTTATAGCGAAGGCAGCGACACTGTTGCTCTGAGTGGGGGATTATCAGTGAGAATTTTATTGCGTGGTGGGTGGCCGCGACCT